TCTTGAGAGACGGGACAGCATCATGGCTGACAGCACAGGTGCTGAAACCAGTCTGCCTGTATTTAAATCCCACCTCACTATTGATAGCGGTGTGACCTTGGTTAAGAAGTTGGCTTCTCTGGACCTCAGTTTCGTCATTTGCCAATATTTCCCTCGGACAGAGAGATTGATGTAGAGATAGCATGTGAGACTCAGTTGACCAAGGAGATTCAAGACCAGACTTGTGCTGAGACCACCAAGGAAAAGAAGTACTCTTTCCATTGGAGTTGCTGGGCCGGCAGGAAGTGAGCTTGGAGCTGCTGGGTCACCTTGATGACCTCAGGGGGAGAGTCTGAACGTGAAGGTAACACAGCAGGAAGCAGATAAGAGAGCTGGAGAGACAGCCATGACAATATGGCTTGAGCTCCTGGATACAGCTATACCTGAAGCAAGCCACCTTTGGACTTCTCAGTTTCATGAGCCAATAACTCCCCATTTTGTGAAAGCCACTTTCAGCTGGGTTTTTCTCACTGGAAAGCATCCAGACTGACACCAGGGGGTTAAGCAACTTGCCCAAGGCCTGAGAGCAAGTAAATAGGAGAGGCAGCATTTAAAAGCTTCTAATCTGCTGTGCCCAGGCCAGTGTTCTGTATTTGGGTATTCACTGATTTTGCCTCTTTACGCTCCCTGAGCAGCCATTTTCTCATCTGTAAAATGGGAAAATGCCAGGTTTGCAGGGCTGCTGGGAAATATAAAATGCAAGATCACACTATTATGTAGTGCTGTCTGTGGCTGGAGACTGAAACGCTGTGCATCCAGTCTCCAGTGCGTGGACCTTGACTTTGTTCCCAGTTAGCTCTTCAGTCTCAGGGATGTGTTTAGCCATACGTCCAGTCAAGGTGCCCAACTGTGTTAGGTGCCCAACTGTCTGTGTGATTTTCAGGCAGAAGGACCACTTCGTTTCCTGGCCCTGTGTCCTCATTGGTGTACAAAGGGACCTGGGTGACCCTGAGGACTCTTGAGCTCTGAGTCTGTAAAGTAGAGATAAGCCCTAACATCTTGTTCCAGAACCTTCCAAGGATTTGTGTGTTCATGTGGGAATGACCTGTTGCTCAAGAAAGACAGTATTGAACCAAATCAACGTAGTCTCTTTACCTTATGATGTTTACATTTAACACATAAAACACGTAAAACAAATATAGGACATAAAACCACATGTTAGCAGAGGGAGAAAATATGTCCTCAAATGCCTAGTAAGTGCTAAGAGGGAAAAGTGATAGAGTGATGAGACATCATTTATTAGAAGGCATCGGAAAGGGCCTCTCTGAGGAAGTGACATTTCATCAGAGTACAATTTGGTCTCGCTCTGGATTCCAAGCTCTTAACCCTGGGCTATCTCCCAGAAAAATGACCAGGACAGATTTTATCAGGAAACTCACTGCCAAGTTAGGAGCAAATGATCCTTTGGAGGCTTGGTAAACAACCATCCTTCTCCACTGACAACTCTTTAGGACCTTTTAAAAAAGCTGATTGGGTCATTGATTTCCTTCATTAGCTAAATCCACAAAGGAAAGGCCCAAGAAATTGTGTGAGCCCATTCCTCAGGCATGTTTGCCGGGAAAAGGTTTTAGCTGTCCTGACACATGGTCATTTGTTTATTTTCTAAACAGTCATCACTAAAAGATTCCCAATCATCACCATCAAATCTCTGAGGGATACCAGGACTTGGCTGGTTCTAGGCCAGGCCTTGGCAGGAACTGGCAGAGCTTTATAGACGAGAGGCAAGCCTCAGAGAGCCACAGAAGACCTTGGGTCCCTCCGCCCGACCAAATATCAAGTGCTTAGGACACAGACAAGAAATCAAGGTCCCGGCCCCCATGGAACATTATAGTGGTGGGCAGGAGAGGGAAGCAAGCCAACAAATAAATAAACAGGGGAACTTTAGACAGAGATGAATGCCGTGGTGCATGGGTCAGAGAGTGGTCAGAAAAGACCTGTCTACAGAGGTGACATTTGACCTGAGACCTGAAGGGTGAGAAGATCTGTAAGAAGAGTGGTCCAAGCAGAGGTTATAGCTGGTGCCAAGGTCCTGAGGTGGAAACTAGTTTGATGTATCAAGGACTGGACCGGAGTAGAAGAAGGGAGAATTTGGGGAGGTGGGCAGCAGCCAGGTCACATGGGTCATATGGGTCAGGGTTAGGATTTATTTGGGTTTCCTTCTAAGAAGGATGGGAAACTATTGGAGGGTTTTACCAAGAAGAGCTTTATGATCCAAACATTGAAAGCTCTATCGGCCTACTTCTTTGTGAATGAATGGATATAATGGGATTAGCAGATACCTGAAATTAGGGATTTCGTTCAGGATCAATATTTGTAACAAAGTTTCACCTCTGCCACTGCAATAGGTTGAGGGGGGCCTCCAAAAAAATATGTCCAAGTCCTAACCCCCAGAATCTAGAATATGATCTTTTTCAGAAGAGGGGGTTTTGCAGATGTAATTCATTTAAGGATCTTATGGTGAGATTGTTTCGGATTACCTGGGATTGCCAGATCATCCTGGATTAGGGTAGGTCCTAAATCCAATGATGGGTATCCTTGTAAGAGTGAGGCAAAGCGAGATTAGACAGACAGAAGAGGAGAAGATGTAGAGAAGAAAACCATGTACAGATGAAGCCAGAGACTGGAGCGAGGCACCACAAGCCATGGAACATTTGAAGCTGCAAGAGGCTTCAGAAGGAGCACCACCGGCAGCACCTTGATTTCAGACTTTGGGCCTCCACAACTGTTTGAACGTAAATTTCTGTTGTCTGAAGCCGCCACATTTGTGATCATTTGTTACGGCTGCTCTAGGAAATTAATACAGCCACTAAACAGTCCAAACTTGGACCCTGCTAATGTTAGCTTCTTGCAGCCTCCCACCCTGCCCCCCCCCACCCCCACACACACAAAGAACCTGTACATAGTTTCGGATCCATCCACGTTGAGACAGTTCCAGTAACTGGCTGGCACTCCCTGCAGGCACTTGGGCCACCTAGACTCCAGATTGATATTTGACTTATTTACTTAGCTCAGCTCGGGAGGACAGGAATGAACCAGCTCTGTTCTCTGTGCGTCCAAGAAGCTCTCAGTTCTTTGCGTTCCAGACAAACTAGCACTCAAATAAATAAGGGTAGGGAGAGTGCAGGAGCCTGGAGAGTCACCTAAACGGCCAAGATTTAAATCAGGCAGTTTCCAAATGTACGGGTTCCCAAACTTTTCACCAGAATGGGCATCTTCTATTAATTTTCCCCCATGGAATGCTCAGTTTCTAAAGACATTGGCTATCAAATCAATTGCATTTATTCAATTACCACTCGTTTACCTCCCCCATTGGTTATTCTTTGTAAGTATAAAATAACGTGGGCTATTTGTTGATCCACTCACTATACTAAAAGCGGTATATATAGCAACATATATACTGTGTGTTTAAAAAAATTTTTTAACGTTTTATTTATTTTTGAGACAGGGAGAGACAGAGCATGAACAGGGGAGGGTCAGAGAGAGGGAGACACAGAATCTGAAACAGGCTCCAGGCTCTGAGCTGTCAGCACAGAGCCCGACACGGGGCTCAAACTCACGGACCGTGAGATCATGACCTGAGCCGAAGTCGGCCGCTTAACCAACTGAGCTCCCCAGGCGCCCCTATACTGTGTGTTTTATATATAGTCATTCCGTCTTCACACCACCCCTATTATCTTCATTTTACAAAGGAGGGAACAGAAGCAGAGAGGTTAGATAATTTGCTCCAAATTGCACAGCAAGGATTTAGTAGAGCTGGAATTTGGACCTGGGCAGCCTGGCTCCAAAGCAAACACTCCCCTGGAGACTTGGTGAGAACCTTGGCTTCCGTGCCAATGTGCAACGCTGCTAAGGACAAGTGATTTTGCCTCAGTGCACCTCAATTTCCTCGTCTCTAAAATGGGAATAATAATAGTGCCTACATTGTGGGATTACTGTAGAGATTAAATGAGAATGTGTACTTGGAATGCCACACACAGTGCCTGCCACAAAGCAGTCAGGGAAGGAGCTAGAATTCAACCAGTGATATCAAGCAGCTTCTCTGGGCAGGCTGGAGATGGGAACGACGAACAAAAGATGATTTGGTTCTTTAGGTTCTCTGACCCCACGGAGTTCACCATCTTCATATAACGTGCCAAGCTCAGAAATGGAGGACTTAAAGTAGAACCCACGGGAAGGCAACCTGAGAAGTCTTTCTCATATGTGCTTCAAGGATCACAGGTACAGTAGCTGGAGTTGCTGGTGAATAATACAGATTCCTGGTATCTGAATCCTTTTCAGGTGATTCCAGAAATCTACATTATTCAACGCGTGAATGTACGATGGGATTTGTGCTCCACCGAGTCCAGTTCGAGCAGGAGTTCCTTGCTACTTTGAGAAATACTGACAATCATTCCAAGACCCCAATCCATTCATTTCTGTAGCGCCCAGGCTAGGAGACTTCAAACAGAAATCTTGCGTTTCAGACAAGGCCCGTACCCTCAGAAAAAGGGGCAGATATCTGGCCTAGAGATGGAAGGCATGCAGCCCTCGGCCCATACTCCAGCTTGCAGCACTAAGGCCAGGGCCTTGGCGCTGCAGGAAAGATGCATGACTACTCCAAGGTCATTCTGACTCAACCGGCCGCGTCGAGACTTGAACCCAAGTTCCACTGGGGCCTCGCAAACGCACGCTCCGTGGGCGGGACTCCCGGGGTCGCCTAGGCAACGGGCGCACGCCACGCCCAAGCCCCGAGCCCCAGGTCTGGAGGCGGGGGGAAGGAGGGAGCGCACGCTGCTGGATATCTCGCGGGGCTGAGGCCACTTCCCCAGCCCCTCCCTCCGACTCCGCCCCGCGGAAGTGCCTGCCGAGATTTTCGAGTGCTGATTGGCTCTCTCACGCGAGGGGCGGAGCCTGCGGCAGAGCGGTGCGTACTTCCGGCTGCCGGGTTGACATGAAGAAGCAGCGGCGACCAGGACGGCAGTAGCGGCGGGAGTCGGGGCTTGCCGCGGGGCTCGGAGCTGAGAGCGCGGCGTGGCCTAGAGCGGCAGACCGTCCAGTGGGCCCAAGAGGAGGCGCAGCAGCCGCCCTGGCCCGTCATGGAGATGGAAAAGGAGTTCGAACAGATCGACAAGGCCGGGAGCTGGGCGGCCATTTACCAGGTGGGGTAGCGCCCCGGGGCGCGGCAGGCCCCTCGCTTAGGCCGCGTGAACCTTTCCCTCAGACCCCCGGGCCCCGTCCTCCCTCTGGGTCTCGCCCTCCGCCTCGGCCCTGCCGCTTGAGGATTCGGTCCGACGGCGACGGAGGCCTGCCTCCTCTCTCTTTGTCCCTCGGGTGGGCCTGCGTCTCTCCCGGGCCTCACAAACCCCTTTGATCCCCCCCACCCACCTCATATCCTCCTGCCCGGCTGACCTCTCAAGCCTGGAGGCCGCGGGTCTGTGTTCTCAGCGCGAATCCCTCGCACCCTGACCCCGCCCCCCTGCTTAGCCACTCTTTGTCCCCTGGGGTTGGTAGAACACCCCCACGACTTCCTTTTCCAGACTGGACCACCCCAGGCTCTCTTCCTTTGTCTCCCGGGGGGAAAGGGTTACTCCCCCGCCCTCCTTCGCATTTCCTTTCCCCTGGTCTCGGTGTGTGTCAGGTCCCACGGATGACAGTCCCCTTCCCCCTTCCCGTTCATTCATTTAGTGGACATGAATTGACGTGCCTGTTCCACGCTGGGCATGGCCCTGGAAGTAGTATTTGCAGAACAAGACAGACGAGACCCTATTTCTCGCGGAGCTTAGAGTCGAATAGGGCCGTCAGGCACACGAGCAAATAATTTCGGATTGCGGCCAGTGCTGTGAAGGAAACACCACCGCATACCGGGGTAGAGCCGCTGCACGGAAGGTGGGTGGGCTACCTCGGAGGGGATCAGGGGGGATCTGTCCGAGGAGCAGACCAGCTTTGAGCCGAGTGAGAAGCAGCGGCAAACCCTGAGATTATCTGGCTACAGCGCTTTTCAGCCAGAAGGCCTGCAATACCCACTCCTCTTGGGCCAAAATAAAATACCTTTCCAGGCAGGGAAGGGCAGCGTTGTTGCCCTCTCTAAAACCGCTTCTTTCCCCAACGGACGTCTTCTCCTCTTTGGCATGGCTGAGTCTTCCCAGTCCTCATTTCCTTGTGGGTTGGGTGGTTCATAAATGAAAGTTAGGAAGGTAGGATCTCACCTGCCTCTGCAGCATCCCATTGACAACACGAAAGGGCCTGCTTCCGCAAGCAGCTAAATCCTGTAAGGAAAATACGTGTTCCCGATTAAATGTCATTGCGGGGGTTGCGAGGATTAACCAAAACCACACTTGGCATTTTAAGTGAGCGATGGACAGAATAGAGAGATTTTGTTACTCGTGTAAAGGGAGAATGCAGTTTATTCTGCTTTCAGCTTATAGGCTCAAAGGGCAAATTGTAAGATCCATCAGCTGGTAGTATTAAAATCTATTTTGAGCTCCACTTAAAAAGGAAAAAAGCTTTAAGCAGTGCTTTGGTATGCTTGACTAACAAAAGCCTTTTTTTGGCAGGCTTGGCTTCGTGTGGATTTGCATCAAGCTTATTTGACAGGATTCTTCTTACTAGGACTGTAATGGATACTAACTTCTGATAGACCAATATTTATAACCACTGTAATCTATATAAGTATGAGGAATCAATATAGAAAATTTGTATTCTGTCTGGTCTCTGAGTTAATTGAATGAATTCCACTAGTGACTTTGAGAATGTGTAGACAGGTTTTCTGCATCAGATTTAATGCAGTAGAATCCCAAGTGGCTTTAAAAGAAAAAATTGTTAGTTTGAAGTGTTGATTGTAACACAGCCCATCACAAGTGGAGGTGGCCTCTGGGAAGCGCTGGGGAAAATCTTTTGTAGTGGAACTGGGTTGGCAACGACAGATTCATGTTACAAAAAGTTCTTGGTTGATTTTCATTTCTTACTGTTTTAGGGCAGAGTGGGAAACCCATCACCCAAGCATTGTCAGTACTGTGTTATGCGTGCCACCGGCTTGAAGCCTGTTGGTCTTCGGTTAATTTCCCTCCCTGTTTGTATGTTAGTCTATCACTTTTGAACACCAGAAGTTAGTCAGATGGCAGCGTGTGGAGATTCTCCCAGCATCTTCGTGGATTGCACATTCCTGGAGGTGGTTTCTTTAAAAAAAAAAATTTTTTTAATGTTTTTATTTATTTTGAGACAGAGACAGAGCATGAGTGGGGGGAGGGGCAGAGAGAGGGAGACACAGAATCCGAAGCAGTCTCCAGGCTCGGGGCTGTCAGCACAGAGCCCGACGCGGGGCTCGAACTCACGAGCTGTGAGATCATGACCTGAGCCGAAGTCTCAGGACGCTCAACCGAGTGAGCCACCCAGGTGCCCCAGAGGTGGTTTCTTTTTATTTTAGAGAATTGTCTGCTATAGGATTTCTCACGTATACCAGACAGATATTTTTCTTTTCTAAAATTGAAATCAGAATCTTTGCTCCTTTTCGAGTTTGGAGGCGGCTCTTTATTGGGCAACTGTAGCATTTGTAAAAACATAGAATACAAATGACCTTGAGTCTCAAGTGGCAAAGTTCCCAAAGTATGTGTCAGTTTACCAAAAGCCATTATTTTCAAGCATTCAGAAAAATGTATTTACTGTTGGTAGAAAATAGAAGTAAAAAAATTAATATTTTACAGCATGGCACAATGAGGGTAGCCTTACACAAAGTCACTTTGAGCTTGCTTGTTGGTCTATTGTGATGAGAAAAATAATACGCAATTTTGGCTTAAAACTTTGTAAGTGAGGCAGTGCGGTTATTTCTCACTATACTTTCCTAACTAAAACAAAAGATGCAAAAACTTGGAAGCAAGTGGGAAAAGAACAAAGGGCGAAGTAGACTTTTGAATGTGGAGGAATGTGGCTGCTCAGAGAACAAATGCTTGGGTAAGGATTCTGTGCTGCTCAACCTGATAAACTGAGCAGAAATGAGTGTTTAATTGTCAATCCTGACAGCACAGGTACCAATAAGCATTTAGTATCTATAGAAAATCAGCTTTGATCGCTTATGTAGATGGCTTTAAAACGTGTTGTCTGTCATTTAAGCGATTGTCTGTTTTGAACAGTGGACGTAATACTTAGGGAGCCCGGAGTTTGAGGTGGGCTGGCTGGCCGGAAGAGCAGAGAGACTGCAGACGGGCAAAAGGGATTGGTATTGGGAGCTCGAATGAGAGGGCAGAGGGCCGCAATGAATGAAACAGCTAATAAGCGGTCCTCCGTGTGTAGTTTAAGGTTTGGGTCAGGTATTTCGCCGTGTGTCTTTTCTCCCGTTCTTTGATTCTCTGACACCATTTCTGTTCACCATTTTCCGGCGTCAATGATTTGATTGTTTCAGATAAAGAAGATTGCAACAGTAGCTCGTGACTTGAAGTCAAGATTTATTCCATGTTAGAGGCAGGCTTTGTAAAATGGGCCACTCTTCAGTTGACATTTGTTTTTATAGCTGCTTTCATTATGAAATGCGATCTAATGCCTGACTAGGTTAAAACCATGTTATAACAGTAGTTCACTAAAATTCCTACTGCTGTATGCAGCTTATATTGTTAAATTCCAAAATGATGAATATTAAAATTTGCCAATAATTTTTATGTAAATACCATTCTCTTCAGAGAAAAACTGTATTTTGTGTAGAGGAGAAAGATCTATACGCCATGACTCACTTAAAAAAAAAAAAAGACAAACGGAAGTGACACGGAGAGATTGGGAAGTTCTAGTCATCTTGAGTGACCCATCAGATCTAAATGTTCTCGTGTAGCCCTGGTTTGAGTGAACTAAATTTAGGTGTCTGATCACCACTTTGGAAATGGTGTGAAAACCTTTGTCATTGTCTGGACTCAAATTAACCGGGAGCCCAAGTAGAAATAGTGGAGGAGAGGACGCTTTGTGATCATTATTTCTTTGGCATCCCTGGCATGTTTATAGGTATACTTTGGTACTTTGGGAAGTATGTAAACTGTATCAGGAGGCTCTGAAAAGGCAGTTGGGCCATCGCGGTAATACAGCCATTTCATTTGCCGCATCTCTCATGGGTGGGGAGAGGGAGGGCAGTGCATTTGCATTTCGACATGAGCAGCTTCCCCAAACCTGTAAAAATGCCTAGGATTGAATAATGTAATTGAGTGTATACTGCATTTCATGATAAAGGTACATTTAAAAATGTCTTCGAAGAAATTTTCAGACTATCCAGTGTTGAAATAATTGTGCCTTTTCTCCCCCCTCTCACGCCCCCCTTCCCCCCACTTTTTGAATGGCCTATTTTCTGACCTTTAAATTGCAATTTAAATCCTTTTGGCGATTTGTGTCCTATGCTGTGGTTTGAATTGCAGGTACTTTTTTGTCAGCCTGCCTGAGCCCATGCAGATCTTTGCACGAGCTGGCAGTCCTCCACGAGCTGGCAGTCCTCCCCGAGCTGGCAGTCCTCCCCGTGTTCATGTTTATTTGTTCATTTTTGTTACTTTGTCAAATTGTTAATTTGTAACCAACAATACCGACAAGTAGGCTGGGTGTGCTTCCTCCGGCTGCCCACGTTCTGGAAGATGGGAAGCCTCGCTGGGTCCTTCTTCCGGAAAATGGGAAGTCTAGCTGGGTTGTTGTTTCCAAGACAATGTAGTTTGGTACCAGTCATTTGATGTGCGTGTTTTGAATATCCATGAATGCTGGGGATAGTTCTCGATTCCCTCTACCGCATCGCGTGGATTGGTCACCGTGGCGTCCTTCCTACTATCCCAGTGGTCTGAGTTCTCAAATTTTGCCTATGATAATTCCTGTCGTTTCTAGTTTCACACTGCAGAAATGAGGGAAACCAGTCATGAATTGGTACGGTCCCCTCATGGTCTCCTTGCACCTCCTCCCCGCCCCTGTCCCGACCGTGTATGTTCTTCACAGTTATCACTAGAGTAATTGTGTCTAAAACAGACCCTAGCCTGTCACTCTGCATAACTGCTTCTTGGGCTTTCTTGACCCCTGTTAAGGTCTAGACTGCGTAGCATGGCAGCCGGGTTCCGGCCATCCTCTCCCTGGACCTTCTATTGTAGCCATACCAGGAGTGCAGCGTCCTTCAGACTCCTCTTCCGCTCGTGCGTCTTGACTTCCCACTTTG